CAACACCCCCCCGAAAGGCCACATACGGAGGGCCCAAAGTCCGTATGTACAGGCCGTACGGGCGTTGGGGGCCCGAACGTACGGGAGTACGGGAGGGACGGGTCGTCCCTTACAAGGTGACTACACTGCCGCAGGCGGACGTGGTGGGGACGGGAGTGGACACGGGAAAGTGGTTTTCTTTCTTCCTCCTCTTTATATTTTTTAGCCTCGATATGGAGTTGCTTCTCGTTGTCTGCCAGAGGATAGGAGTAGGATAGTCAGTGATGATTGGTGTTGCCCGACCCGCAATACCAATCAACACTGGGGTGTTGATCGCCTCGCGGGTTGGTGGTGGGCAGTTTAGGTGTTAGGTTGCAAGAGGTCAATCCTTACCTTGCGCAGGGAAGTAATCAATGCCCCTGACATATTCATAAGATAATGCATAATGGATGCAGGAGTCGACGTCCAGATTTTACACATCTCATCGTGGATAGTGATACACCACATCATTGTTAGGGTTTCGTGATGTCCAGATTTTACACACCTCGTCGTGGATAGTGATTCGTGTTCAGGCTCGATTGATATACACCATATACAGAACATCATTGTTAGGGTTTCCCGAGTAGATTGTTTGATACAGAACACATACATCATAGTTTTGTTAGGGTTTCATTGGTGTGATAAATAGTGAGTGACAATTATACACGAACATATTCAAACACATACAGACAGATACAGGATGCTCGGTTGGAATACACATTCATCACAGTATAGAGACGCTGGACCCGTTTTCCAGCTTATACACATCACATCATTGTACTGAGACGATGGACCCGTTTTCCGGCAGGTGCAGCTCCCCACCAATAGATGGAGCCTTCAACACTGGGGCCTACTTACGTGGGATGCTCTTATCACCTCGGTAAGTAGGTTTTTGCCGCTCAGAAATTAAACAAAAAGGACTAGGCTGGAGTCGCTGGACTGAATATCCATGTGGCCTGTGAGATCAGGCCGAGATCAGGCCAACGGCCTGGTTCCACAGGCCGAATAGGCAAATGGCCCTGGCTATAGGCCAGGGTAGATAGAGGCCATGCTAATCTTCTCTGTATCGTTCCAATTTTAACGGATGTCCCGAAGGGCTCAGGTCCCATGTTCTTTTTTTCCCTTCCTTCTTTTTTTCCCTTTCTTCTTTTTTTCCCTTTCTTCTTTTTTCCAAGACAAGGCCAGGGTGGGCCTAATAGGCGGGGTGACATGAGCAGCCTCCCCTAGTAAGCCTATTGCTGGCCGCTCCATCTATTGGTGGGGAGCATCACCTGCTGGAAAATGGGTCCAGCATCCCTTGTAGGTCCGTGATTACTGGAAAGATAACAAACATGGCCCCGGACTGTCAAGTGAAAGGACCACAGCCCTGGGAACAAACGATTGGTATTCTCGGTGTTGCAATGCTGTAACAATGGGATGCTGGACCCGGTTTCCAGCAGGTGCCGCTCCCCACCGATAGATGGAGCAGCCCGGCAGATAAGCCCTCAATTCTGCTGGTTCTCTGACCACCGCCTGGATAGAGGGCTTACACAAGGGCTCTTTTTTGCAAAAACAAACAAACATAGCTCGGGTCAATTGGAGGTCCAAATCACTAGTGGGTGTGCCTTCACAGGTGCTGCTGTGTCTGTTTGATTTGGCCTGATGTCGCTGTGGCTGACAGATGGACGTGAGGGAACCAATCCAGACCTGAACGAGGCCAGTCAGAATGCTGTCTCGGTTGCCGTGTTGCTGATGAGAATGTTGCTGGCCATGGGCTACTATTTGAGCACACCAGTGGCCCTTGTTGCGGTGGGGCTAGTTGCACGTGGCACTGTGGTGGTGATTCTGGGAATGGCTCTGCTTTTTTTTTTTGGGGGGGGGGGGGGAGCATCTGACAAGAGGTCCCACTACCAGGTTGGTAAGCCAGCAATTGAATGACAAGATCAATATTCCCAGTCCAAACAATATGGCACTCTCTTCTTTCCACCTCTGAAAGTAAAAAGGAAAAGGTTTTGCTTTATCCTGTGTTGGTTCTGCTTTGTTTATATTTCATAAGAGTACCAAGATTGATTGATCCAGGGCTTTTTCTTTTTCTGATTGATCCACAATTATGATGGTTCCCAGAATCATTAAGCCACCAGCACGTTTCGCAGCCATTTTCTCAGAGTTGCGGCGTGCATGCTGTTCCGTTTCTCGGGACGTACTGGGGCGCTGTTTCGCTGGACATCCATCCAGGCAAAATGGGTGTCGCATGCGATCCATTTTACCTGGATGGATGTGCTGTGAAACAGCGCCACGGTACTTCCCAAGAGACACGGCAGCATGCACGCAGTGACTCTGAAAGAATGGCTGGGAAATGTACTGGCGATTTAAGATAGTGAAATAATCAAGCAGGTGATGCTCCCCACCAATAGATGGAGCCTCTCCCCAGGTGCTAGTGGTGGCTGCTCTTATCAGCACCACTAACACAGGCAGGAGTGTTGTTGAAAAAAAAAAAAAAAAAAAAAAAAAAGCCTTATCAACAGCAGAGGATCATTAAATAACCCAGGTCTTTCCTTGGAAGGGTTTAGGGGATCCTTGTTTTTCTTTTTCTTTTTTCGAAAACATCTTGGAGTGGAGGGGATCCACATCCCAGGGAGTAATGAGAGACATGCTGAGGCATCATGCTCAGCAGAGCCAGGATCAGGAAATCCTCGATTCTGGGTTCCCCAGAGATCTCCCATCCAGCAGGTGATGCTTCCCACCAATAGACTGGAGCCATCTATAAACTGGGGCTTGCTATTGGAGAATGCTCGTATCACCTACAATAGCAGGTTCCCACAGATGTTTCGGTTTCAAGAAAAAAAAAAAGAAAAAAAAAAAAAGATCTCCCATCTTCAAAGATGTGGCCCTCGGAATAGGGGGCTTTGGTCTGTGGGGAAGGTCACGATTTTGTCTAGTAGGTGTGGGATAAACCCTCGTCTAGGGGGTCTTAATTCGGTGGGAACGCTTGTTGTTTTGACTCTCCGTAGGGTAAACGAAGGGTACACGAGCTGCTGGTTGTTTGGAGAAGGCTCAAGGGTTTCGTTCCATGGTCTAGAGATTGGGGTTGGTTGGAAGAGGTGCGTATTTGGGCCCATAGGTACATTGGGTTTTTCCCAGTTTTGCCATTTTTTCCATCTTTATAGGTATATTGGGTCGTACCCTTATAATGTACGGAGCCAGGTTTTTGGTCTGGATTATTCATTTTGTTGACGCGGCTACGAGAAGAATACCGGTTTCGAAGTTTTAGGCTGACGCTTACTTCTAGTAGGAGGATCAGTACTTTTCCATTTAGTATATATGTCCTAGCAGTCAGGTGTTCGTCAGACCGATTTGTCAAGACCTCTGATGAGCCTAGTAGCGGCTAGGCGAAACCGGTCGGGTCGTTCCGCTCTGTGCTTCATGTTCATCATGATTTTCAATCAAGTCGCGTTCGGGGACACCTGTCTTGTTTGGTCGTGTACTGTCTGGATTTTGTCGAGTCTTGTCCTTGTTCGGTCGTGTACTGTCTGCATTTGTCGAGTCTTGTCACTCTTGTTGTTCATGCCAATTGCCTGTTCAACTTTGCTTCGCGGAGGAACCGACGTAGAGGTAATACTACAGTTGTGTGACTTCGTTATCAGTCATGGCGTCAAATGGGTTTCACGTCAATAGTAATCTTCCTCGTAATCCTGGTGGTCTTGTCCCTTCTGCCCGAGAGTGTTCTAATTGTGGGCAGCTTGGTCATATTTCACGCTATTGTCCTCACCCTCGTGCCAATTGTCAACCTCCCAGTAACGCTATAGTACCTGTACAACCTATCGCTACGTATCCTCCTCTACTTCTCAGGTCGGCACGTCTGCCCCGTACTATTCCGGTCAGTATAATGGCGGAGGTAGTGGGCTGGGCCGACGGGTAAGCTCTTTGGAAGAGATTGTTACTCGGATTAACATCAAGCACCAGGAACATGAAGCCAAGGAACGTGCTGCGCGCGAAGAAGAAGAACGTAAGAAGAAGGATAAGGAAGAAAATGATCGAAGGGAACAGGAACGGAAGAATCGAGAGGAATTCCAGCTGTCGATATGTCAAGAACTGGCGACCAAACTGGACGTTGTTGGTGAGGCGGTGGACGGCAAGAAGGCCGCGGACCAGGATGAGATGGCGAAATTGCGTGCACAGTTCGAACTTCTTTGCCGACAGAAGGATCCTGTAGTTTAGAAGAAGAAGGCTACCGGTTGTGACGAGCTCCGGCTCCTGCGTCTGAGAGTGGACGAACTCCAGAAGTCGCGGGATGGAGCCAGTACCTCTGCGACCGTTACCAAACCGCTGATGCTGATGAGATTACCCGGCTTCGACGTGAGCAGGAGGCTGTAAAAATCGCTACGGAGAAGAGACTTGCCACTCTTGAAGAGGTCATTGTCGCACTGCAGAAACAGTGTGTGGCAGCAGAAGCTAACGCTGAGGTATGGAGGCATGAAGCGCTTCGCCCCGGGAATAAACGAGGGCCGATTGCGATTGGTTCTACGCCTTGCACTGATGCTCGCGTCCGGCGTCGGGTGACTCCTGTGGCTTCTCCGCGTGTCACGGGGAAGTTTGATCAACACTTGAAGACTGTGGTGGATCGTAATCGGCAGGAGGTCGAATTGTTGAAAGAAATGAGACTTCGTGAGCGACGTGAGGTGAATGCTCGTAAGGAATCCGAGAAGGAAGTTGAGAGACTTAAAGACGAGATGGCTAAACTCCAAACCAGTCAGAAGAAAGGAGGCACTAACCTGAGGAAGCGGATGGATGCTGTTGTTGGAGCATCTGCCTTCAAGGGCAAACTTTAAGGAGTTGCTGCTGCGTCTCCTATAGGTTTGACCTGCCACCGCGAGGTGGTCTTGAAAGCTGCACGGCGGGATCTTCGCGCCTTGGAGAAGGATGCTGTGACCAAAATTTGTGAAGATGAGGGTGTACCATATACCACCCTGGAAGCAACGAAGGAGGCTATTGTGCAAGCACGGGCGGATAAAGCTGCTGCCGACGACGAAGTCAGTAAGGACGTAGTTAAGCCGGATTCCGTGGTCGAGGTTACCGAGGATGACGACGATTCCGAAAAGAGCGGGGGGAGTGGCTCCGCTGATTCTTAGGATCACTCCCCGGCGCAGCTCTCTTGTGGGGTTTGGTACTTTTCTGCTTATGTTTACGACTGAAGGATGCTGTGTGGTTGAGAAGCAAGGAAGTTAATAGCCTTATGAGTTATGCCGTCTGTTGTCTTATTTTTCTCAGTCTGATTCCTTGGTGTAGCAAGATTTCCGAATTTTGTGTTGACTCGTTTTGCCGAAGACGAGGGAACGATGCATGGAAGGGTCCGTTGGTGTATGCACTGGTGTCGCCATGGTACCGGCACGTCTACGCTGGTAGTACTAATCGAGATTTACATTGTCGCTGGAGGGAGCATGTTTATGGAGGTTGCAATACGAATGCGATTGAGAAAGGGGAAGCGTAATGAGAGGCTGTACCAATGGTTGCGTAGATGTGGGGTGTCCAATTGTGTTATTATTCCGTTTTGTGTTTGTGAACCAGAGGACCTCGCCATTACTGAGACATACTTTATTAGGTTGCTTTGTCCGGCCTTGAACACTAGGGACAAACCACGTCGCGCACGTAGATCGAGACCAGGACTGAGAGAACGATTGCGACGTAAAAAGCAACAGAGTGTGGGGGATGTTGGTAGCAAATGCTCTCGCCAACGTACTGTCGTGGGGCTTGGTTCGGTTTGTTTTTTTCCTTTGGAGAATGGGAAGCCGTCGGTTAGTCTGATCCGTGTGTTGAAGAGTTGTGTTGAGGCTTGTGTTTACTCTGTTTGCATTCGGTGTACTGGGGGACTTAAACTGGTTGATAACTGGAAAGTGTTGAAACGCTTGTTTGGAGGAAGTGTTGTCAGTTGTGAATACGGTACCAGAGAGTTATGTCATTCCCGAGAGTGGCTGAAGGGGGGTTTGGTGTTGACCTTCGACTCTATTAAGCAGTTCTTGAGTCGCTCGCTTGCATTGAAGATCCCGCTAGCCAAGTTTTTGAGTAACGCCAGGAGCAAGGTCGATTTGAAGCTCTGGGAGTTTGATCACCTGATTGCTGCATACACCACCGTCAGAACTTTTAGCGAAAAACGAACACGGTTTCGCTTGCGTTGCATTCTCTCTCAACATCTCTCGTCCCATTTCGGTATCCAGGTAAGGAAACGTTTGGTTATTCGTCTCACGTATGATAGCTTAGTTTGCAAATCCAAGGTCCGACAATTGTGTGCAGGTACCGTGAACTCTTTGGACTTGCCGGTGTCTTGGAGATGTATGCTGGTACGGCGGATGCGGGTGGTTTGGTGCAGGAACAAGAGTGTGGGTGACATCATTCACAACTTTCGTAGAGTATCACAGGAGAAGGATGCGGGTTGCAAGTGTGAAGCAACTTCTTTCTCTTCTTTTCCACGTACGGATGGGCACGTGTGTTTTCGCATTAGTGATTTAGGTAACTTCTTCCCTTCACTGTGTAACCGTTTGAACGCCGTGAACGCGCGCGTTCGCGTTCAAATGTGCGTTTGAACGCGGATTGCTCGTTCGCGTTCAAAATTGAACGGCGTTCAATTATTTTTTTATTTTTTTATAAAAAAATCATTTTAATGCCAAAAAATAACTTGTTTTTTCTGATTTTGTTTTTATGAGTTCTGTATGATGTGAGGTACATGCCTCTCAATTTTGGAGTCATTTTACTAAGGCAAAAAAAAAATGACAAATCGGCAAAGATGGCGGTGTCAAATCGTGTTCGCTCACTAATTTCAATTCTTTTTTTACTTTTTTTATTTTCTGTTTTCTATTTTTTTTCCAATTTGGTAACGAATTTAGATGTAATGCTCAGGCAAATGTTGTATTATTTTATGGTTCTTCATAACATATTTAGTTTTCGGAATTTTTTTAGGGTTTTTTTTTTTTTTTTTTTTTTCCCCGCGCGGAATTGAACTCCGCGTTCGGTCTCGTTCATTGAACGCGCGTGCATTCCGTTCAATTTCTGAATGGAAAACCCGCGTTCAATGAACGCGCGGCTTCATGGTTGCACAATTCTCGGAATGTTGTTAAACCCTGCGCTTTATCTGACCGATAAGTTACACTCTCAACTGGTACTCTCCTTCTCTTCTCATCCTTCCCTTCCTACTGTCGGTCCGAATGCTTTTTCTAATTGCGATGTCCAAGGCTGCTTGGTTAACAATTTCGGGTCAGTTTTGAGCATTGGGGAAGATGATATAGTTCCTTTCCGACGGTTATTGGAGGGATTGGTATGCTGTCCTGTCGACCATAACCCTGGTGATACACTGGTCTGCTGCCCCGTCACCTACCATCGTGGAATGCAGAAGCTATTTTTGGATATTTCGTCCTTCGAGGTTTGTGATCTGAGTCAGGAACAAGTCGTAGCTAATACGGAACGTGAGTATCATGCGGATGATTTGACGAAGGTGGATCGGTGGAACAAGCACGGGACTTTTGGGCAAGCGTACTGTATTCCAAAACATAAGGACGTCACCAGATGGAGACCGATCTGTCCTTCAAACTCGGAGCCCGCGGTAAGTGGAAGCTGAGCTGTTTCCAAAGCTGTTAACATTCTGCTATGGAGCTTGCCGACGCACATCAACTTGAATTTGAAGAGTGCGGATTTACTGGTAAATAGGATTAAGGATATTAATTCTGGACTCTCCGATAACTATTTTCTGTGAGGAGATTTGATATTAAAGAAATGTTATCTCATCTCCCTCACGACTCTATTCTTGCTGCCGCAAGATGGGTGGTTGTTTTTTGGATAAGCAAGGGTGCTAAGGGGATCGGTGTGAGAAATCAGGGAAAGGGGGAGAAGATTCTTTTCAGGAAAGTAGAGATGGGATGGAGATTAGTCTCGTTTGATGCATTGCTGAAATTTATTTCTTTTGAGCTACGACATACGTACGTGAGGGCAGCAGGACAATTGATCAAGCAGAACGTCGGTATCCCCATGGGGAAGTCGTCAAGCCCTGCCCTAGCTTGTCTTCTCTGTTCTTTTAACGAGTTCTCCTTTCTTTCAAGCTTGAGGATGCAGATTGGTGGATGATGCTTCAATGTTTGTAGTATGTAAGAAGAATGACGGGTGTTCCTTGAGGAGAGGTTACGACCCGATCGATTCCTTTAGCCGTTGCTATCACAATTTGACTTTGGAGCATACAAACTCGGATAATTGTCGGGATTACTTGGGATGTGTGTTGAAGGTGTTGGATGGGTCCACTGGAGTGCTCTGCCTGCCGATGACAAAAAATCAGAGAGAGGAAACCAATGCGAAGCCCAAATTCCAGTGTATTCAGGACTTTGTATCGTATACAAGTAAACAACAAAATATGATATGAAGAACAGATCGGCCAAATCAGCATCAGCATGAGGAGAGATGACAAAGATACCACCCGTATAGTTCAACATCGCATCTCACACGCACCCCAAAAAAGAGCCATCAACCAATGATGAGAAAACGCAAAAGAGTTCGATGAGCTCGAATAACAGAATTCAAATTAAAACATAGCTCAAAACTTCCAACCCGAGAGCGAAGCTCTCACCACCTCCGTCCACAGTCTAGCGGCCACTCCCCAACGGGCCAACGCGTTTCTACTACCCCACACGTAGATCATCGGGAGGAACCCAATACTCAATCATCGAAAGAAACTCGATGTAGGAGGCCATTCCAATAACCTTGCCTCCTTTTACTAACACCAACCCCATCAAGACAAACGAGCAGGCCCCAGTATGTCCGAGACGGCGTGTGAAATGTGAAACACCCGTGAAAGCACCCTGAAACTTCCCATAATGAGTCGAATACGGTGGTGGCAGCCTGACAGACGATCATGTATAATGCTCGTAATACTTGCACAATACAAACTAGATAACAGAGAACAACAACAGTTGAGGCATACAGAAAATAGAGAAAACACAGGCTGATGCCACAGTAGCAGCAGATCTCGGTAGAGGTAGCGCTGCAGAAGAAGCGAAGAGCACCGGAGACAGTCCTTCTTAATGCAAGATGCCCTCCAAAGCGCAGACCACTGCATCAGAAAACAGACGCACCATTGCTCATGTGCTCTGCGAGCTGTGCCAGTCCCCTTAAAGTCCACCTCTGTGCGAGAGCTATGAATGTCTCGCCTGTGCTCAGTAATCGTCCCTTCAAACCGTCGATGACGATAGAAGCCCCTTTGTCGTGACCATCGGGAACAAGAGGAAGAGCCGACTGAGGAGTCTCTTTCTTATACTAAATGTGGAGAGAACTCCCCGTTCGCATCGTCAAAAAATGAAAATACTGCAAAGGTCTATCCTCAAAACCGGGTCTGAGGAACGCCATACCCGAATGAGCTGAAAAAGAGAGACCATCGCCAAAGGTCAGAAACGAATAAAAAATATTACAAGATTTATTTTCAGAACCGGGTGTGAGGATCCCAAAAAACCGAAAATCGTCGAACATCAGATCGGCTTCATCCTTCAGCAACCGCGCAACCCAAGATAAATGGGACCATTGGAGACCCGACCAGAAAATAGGTGACGGGTCCGGTTGGCAAAGCGCCGTTCCAAAACACAGAGTCATACTACATGACGTAACCGATCATAGCCCAGAGTAAAGGTGAAAAAAACAACCCCGTTAAAGGTCGGAGATTACATAGGAAGGTCACAAATGGCTCTCAGGCTAGGCCGCCTGGAATGCCAATTTGGCAAGAATGCCAAATTCCTTATGTAACCATCCGGGCAACCATACAACCTTCAGGAGAGCCGACTTTCAGACCGAAGCGATGGAAAGTAGCAGAGATCAAAGCCAATGGATAATCCCCAAGGATGAGTTCCCTGCGAACGACCATGAAAGTATGTAACCTCCCAAATCCGTCAGAAGATAGTCGATGAATCCTGTGCAAAGTTCCGATTACTGCACTAATCTTAGCTTGTTTGCTAGAATAGGATCGAAAATCTTGAAAGGACCCAAAGACCAAACCTCCTTCTG